TTTGCCCAGAAGATCAATATGATGAGACAAATGAAGCATAAACCTTTTTGTTCTCTCTACACAATAAATCTTGAATTAAGTAAAAACCATAGATTGTGGGTTGATAATGGGGAAGGAAATAAAGTTTTGCTGGTAAGCCATACTGTTGTCACCATTGACTGGAGATAGCTTTATAGAGTGTTGGAACACAACTCTAGTATAAATGACTTTGTCGGAATCACCTTTGAAACTCCCTAAAGAATTTCAGTGACTCTTTGTTGATCAAGTCTGGCCTAAGAGCAAGTGTTTTATTTAAGCTTTCATAGGATATATTATCCTGTGATTGATTGATCAGTTCTTTATTTGACAATAACCAAATCAAACTCATATTTTATGATTATAGTACATATGTGATATTTTATATTCTGTGTTGAAAAGCTTTCATTTTCCTTGTGCCAAGAATAAAGATTTGAACATTCTGTCGAAACCTCAAACTCTCTCATTTTTCAGCCCTTTCAGTTATTGTGTTTTTTTATTAACTCTACATAACATAAATCTCTATGACTAGAGTTTGGTGAAATTTGAAACATTTTTATTTTACTTTTCCTGTGTAGTAGAGCAACCATGTTACCAACCTTTACTTGTTGGACACTGTACTGTTTCATACTTGAAAATTATAGGAAAGGAAAACTCCTAAATAATCTGGTACTCCTTTGTTGATGTTAGTAAATTTGCTTTGAGTCTTTAAATACTAATTTAAAAAAAAAGGTAGCTAAGATTTTAAAACATTAGGTTTGTTTAAAAAAACCCTGCAAATTATTTATTCCAAGTTGTGAAATAAAGTAGTGATAAACTAATACCATAGACTTTAACATTTTGAAACTTTGCTTTAGTTTTCAATATTGTAGCTCCCTCTTGTGATAAAAATAATCCTTACATTAAAAATCAGAAATATGACAACTGACTATATACTTTCAGTAGCTTAGCACAGGAACTTTCAAATACGGACAGGAATCCCAATGCAGAAGATAAGGACATATGTCTACTTGACATATTAAGGAAAAAAAATTTATCATTTTAAAGGATTTTAAAGAGAAAGTGGCCTAAACTAAGGACAGACCAATAGGTAAATATAACCTTTCAAAAGTCAGCAAGGTAGCCATAATGGAAAGATAGGGAGATTCATTAAAAGGATATTTTTAGAAGCAGACCCTTAGTTTATTCTGAAAAACAAAAATGACATAGAAATAGTATATTGTTTGAACATCAGTATTTAACAACTTTTTTTAACTGTAACAGCTATATTTACTTGAAGTTACAGATACAGCTGTCAAATAGTGTGACCAATTTTTAACAAATACACAAAAATTTATACATATAATTTTTTTGTACCTTTTAAAGATAGTGTTACCTTTTCATTGTTAGACTTCCTTATCTATCTAGCTTTTTGTTTTTTAATAGGCAGTTGGGGTTAAGTGACTTGCCCAGGGTCACACAGCTAGTCAGTATCAAGTGTTTGGTCTGAGGTCGAATTTGAACTCAGATCCTCCTGACTTCAGGGCTGGTGCTGTATCTACTGCGCCACCTAGCTGCCCCCATCTAGCTTTTTCAAGAATGAAAAAGTATAAAAACAAAGTTTGTGACTCATTGAAATGTTGAATGAAAACTTATAGATATTAATTTAACTGGTAAAGAATCTATACTTTCTTTATTTAGCACTCTGTCTTTTTTAATTAGACCTATTTTTTGAGCCATTCTTATGGAGGAAGATTACAGTAGCTAGATGCTTAATATGGCTTTCTTACAGTTTGTGGATGCCTGAATGTCAGGGACTAATGGAACAAGCCAAAGTATCATAGGGTAGTAGAGGAATACCATACAGTATTTCCCATCCAGTTTGTCCTTTGAACACTTTTAAGTTTTAAATCTGTTGTCAGAAACCTTAACTTCTGGTCTATAGGCATAGAATTTGCAAACAAAATAAGGTAAATTAAGCTATTTTCAGCCTGAAAAATTGTTACACATCATTAGTTATTTTTGGTAAATTGTTTTGTAAAGGAAAAAATATAGTTAGCTTTAACAATTTTCTCATGGACACAGTGTGGTAGCATAGCAAAGAACACTGATGTTAAAAAGCCTAGGTTCAAACTCTGGCAGTAACATTTGCTACATATGTGACCCTCTTTCTGAATTCATCTGTAAAATAAAGGACTTGACTAAGTGGTCTCTAAGGTCTTTTCCAAAGATCTGTAAACCCATGATCTTTTATGAACCTCTATTCACATCCACCAGGATTCCACAAAACCCAGTTTGAGAAATGCTATAGTACAGAATAGAAGGAGGAAGAGCAATTAGAACAGTAGCAGTTCCATAGAAGTAGTATGGCTATCCTAAGCTTGGATGCCAAATAATAGAATCTGAAAGTACCACCTTCTTCAAGTGAATTTTGGTTTCCTGACCTATTTTATGTCATATTTCTCTAGGAAACAAATTAAAGTTTTGTGAATAAGATATTTTAATGGACTAGTCATTCATGTGCTATATAGTTAAACCATTTACTGTACCTTTATCCTCTTCAAATTCAGTTAACGTAAATAACAAACCTGAAATTGAATTTTATAAAACTTAGAAAAAACATAGTTCTACTTTCAGAGTGCTAATCATTACATTTAGAAAAGATGAACACAATCAAGAGAGTTGTGTATAGGTAAGCTTATGTACACGTTACTGGTGAGTGGAAAATAAATTGGCTAAACATATGGGGAAAATAGATTTTGCTTATCCAGGTTGGTGTTCTCATAAGATATTCACTCAATTATAGTTTGCATGTAGTTTTGCAAATTGTTTATTTGAAAAAAGTGGTTCTAAAAATCTAACCCAGCATCCAGTCAGGCTAAAGTAGCAGTTCTAATATATCAGAGTACTAGGACATTTTGCCTGAATCTGTTGGATAGTTGACTCATATATCAATATATCAGCCCAAGTCTTAACCTCTACTAAATGTGTGCCTAGCATCATTCAGTGCCATGATGTCATCACCAACATGTTGTAAAGATTAAGGTCTACCTCAGGAAGAAATTCTAGTCACCTACTAAGACATCATATATATTTTGTTTAGGCTCCTGTCAGTGTAGTTTGAGGTTTTGGATTGTTAGGTGTGATAGTACCAGCATTTCCTTGACAAAGCCTCTTTCCTCCCATCCATAAGCTATGAGTGATTTACTTTATAGAAAGATAAAATTGCCTCCAGGACCTGATTGGCTTGTGTGATGATAGAACTAACATTTTCTTGATGTACCTCCTTTCCTTTCACACACAAAATGGGGAAGCTTTGCAAACCTGCCTCCAGAATCTGCTTGACCCTGAATATCCTGAAACAGATTTCAGGTCATCTAAGGGCATAAAAATTCCCAGCCCCATGGACTGTAGGCCCCTTAGATTTGGTGCATTTCTGAAGACCATACCCCTCACTATTTCCCGCTATCCCGGCTTCCAGGGAGGCAGATAATGCACTTTATTAGTTCAGATTCAGTGTTGAGACAAAATGAGGCACTTGTAAGTCACTGAATGTTTAACAAAAGGAGGTTTTATGTTGTCCTAATACAGCAATAAATTCATCAAGATTGAGTGGCGTGTAATTTCCCTGAATGTGACCTCCTTCATCTCCCTATGTAAACATGTCTGGCCAATAGGTAACAGACTGATTTGAGTAGGGCTATGGAATGCACCCAGTTTGAAGGACCTAGACTCCATATAGATGGGACTTATGCCCTTATGTGTCCAGGGAGCAGTGTCAGGGAAACAGAGACCAATTAGATGTCCTGGGTGCAGCTTTGTAAAGACTCTTCATGTTGTGGTGGAAGGAAAGAAACTTCATCAGTGAAGTACTGGTCCTGTCACACAAAATATATAGTACAAAATGGTGGAGCATCACAAGATGTAACCCAGCACAGTACAGGAGTCAGCAAAGAGAAAGCCAAGCAAGCTAGCTTTATTGAGAAGAAAGGCTATCAGAGAGGTAGTCAGGAAAAGGGAAACAAAGTTAGGTCCTGCTGGGATCCCCAGTGGAGAGGAGGAGGATTGTGCTAAAACTGGTAAAGAGTTGGGCAGAGGGAAGTTACAGAGTTTTTATCTGGTTCAAGCAGGACCATACATTGTGAAGAAGAGGGGTGCCTGGATGTGGTATTTAGGTCAAGGTTTGGGGACTGGTGTTACTTCATGGTTGAGAAGTGGGGATAGGAGGAAGGGGAACACCTGAGGATGTGGCAACTAGTTGATATTCAGACTCCTTGGTGGGAAAGGGGCTCTTGGCCCTTACTACAGGCTTTATATCAGCCAAGTTACTCAAGACATTTGAGCCTCCTGGAAGCTTCATTTGAACAGGGAAGAGAGGCAACTGAAGTCCTTATAACTCCTTCTTACCTTATTCATCCATCCTTTATACTTAAATAAGTATTTTTAAATTTTGTAATGCTTGTTGAGTAATTTCAACTAAATAATAAGAATCATCTGGCTCTCTGAGAAAATATTTCAGTACTACTCAGCATTATAGGAGTGATGTTAACACCAGCAAATTGCCTCTCCCATCTTGACGATCATATGAATTAATTGTCTGCCTTTGATCTAGACCATTGAATTGTAGATTTAGAGATGGAAAATGGTCCAAATTATCATCTAGCACATCTTACTTAATTGTTAATGCTGAAGAGTTAAAAACCTCTTTCTAGTGGTTTTTTAATGCTATAAGTCAGGTCCTTTTATGTACCAGGTTTCACGTTTTCATGTCTGAAGCTTTATTGCAGTTAATTATGTTTCATAATTTATGTTTGAGAAAGTACTAGCTGTTCAAAAAACAATACATAGTGGAAAAAACTCTACAAAAAAACCCATTTTCAACCAATGAACATTTTTTTCTTGGGAATGATAATGAAAACAATGTTTTGTTAGCATAAAAAAAGATTAATTTCTAACTAAGAAAAGTAATTAACCTCTACCCCACTCCCCATCCCCTTTCTTTTCAGGTATAAAGATGTCTGACAAGACCAAGAAAAAAGTAGCTACCAGAGCTTCAATTATTGAGCAGCTATTGACAGAAAAGAATTTCCAGGATCTTGGAGATCACCTGACTGAACTAGAAACTATTCACATGAGTATAGAGCATCTCCAAGAGACAGGTGTTGTAAGAGCTGTATATAGAGTTTTGAAACATTGCCCTATAGTGATTTTCAAAAAGAAAGCCAAGTGTTTACTTTCCAAGTGGAAAACACTTTACAAAAATCACTACTTTCAACCAATGAACAGTTCTGATTTTTATCTCGAGGATAGTAAAGAAAACACTGAACACGTTAGTCTGGTTCAAGAAGAAAATTCCCCATATCCAAGTAAAGAACAAATATTAGATACAGTAAATTCTAACTCTATGTCATCATCCCAAGATAATGCAAAAGGTGTTGAAACATTTGTGCCAGAAAACAGTGCTGCTCAAGTGGAGGAGCATTCAGAAGAACATTTCATGAATCATGACGCTAAATCCATTGACAGCAAATCACCTTGGCATCAAGATCCTATGAGGGCTAAGTGTATAGAACTTCTTTATGGAGCTTTAGTTACTTGTGCCACAGACCAGGAGAAAACTGATCGTTGGCAAATATTGGCGAGAGAAATTGAGGAGTATGTTTTTGCACTCTATTCAAAAAATCTCAAAAAATACAAAAATTGCATCAGAAGCAAAGTGTCAAATTTGAAGAATCGAAAAAATCCTCATTTACAACAAAATCTGTTTTCTGGGACCTTATCTCCAAAAGAATTTGCTGAAATGACAATCATGGAAATGGCAAATGATGAATTAAAGCAGTTGAGGGCCTCATACACAGAGTCTTGTATACAGGAACATTATCTTCCTCAAGTGGTTGATGGCACACAAACAAATAAAATAAAATGTAGGCGCTGTGAAAAATTTAATTGCAAGGTCACCGTGATTGCCAGAGGAACACTTTTCCTTCCAAGTTGGGTTCGCAGTGCAAATCCAGATGAAGAAATGATGACCTATGTCATTTGTAACGAATGTGGAGAACAGTGGTATCACAGCAAGTGGATTTGCACGTGATTGTGAAGAAACGTTAACATTTTTGAATAAAGATAATTTTTGTTTATAAAGTGCTTTTGCAACACATTTCAGACCGATTGCACAGGTATTATATTTTCTCAGTAACCCTCCAGAGTAGGTAGCTGATTAATTAAAAGCTTCTAGATTGATAGTGGCTCCCCTTTTCAAATGAATACCAGTTTTCACATACAAGTAATGGTTATTTTAAATGTTTCTTCTTTCATGATGAAACATTATCCAAAGTTTGGATTGAAGTTATCATATACTTGGACATATACATGGACACTTGTTCATCCAGTTGGCAGAGGTAGAGACTGAGGTACAGTTATAGTCAAGTTCACACAGCTACTAAATGGTAAAGTTAAGTCTCAAATCCATGCTTTCTGTTGCCTGGCCTGGTTATTTTTTCGCTAGCTGTTACTACCAAGGATTGTAGCTGTTTGAAGCACCAAAGAGGGGCATACCATGTCTAAAGAGATTAAGTGACTTGTTAACATAGCCAGTTAGTAATTGAGAGTCAGAAGAAATTAAGTCAGGCAACATCTTTTGTAAAAGATGGGTTTTTTTTGAGTAGTATTTTTTGAGTGTAAGAATCTAGAGATGGGTCCTATGGTGATAACCACAGTGGAGATTTGTTCATATGAAGGACATAATTCAGGTTCTTTGCATGAGAACTGTTATGTTTCAGTAAAAATTGGCATCACCTGGTAAGAAATGGATCATTCCAGTTCTGTTCAACTCTTATTTTTCTTTCTTTTCTCTTCTCACTTGCCAGACTGCACCCTCTACCACTAAAGTTATTCTTCTACTGTATTAAGAATCCATCTGTTCAGTTCTTTGAAATTCTGCATTTCTTTTTCTTTGCACATGCTCTTTGTAGGATGTGAAGAGTTAGTAATTGATTTTGTATATCTGTTATTTAAATATATGTATATTATACTATGTAACATAATTTACAAAAATATGGATGTTTGTGTAGATATGCACATGTATGTGGTAAATATACATCTATACGCACAGACACACACTATATATATAAAACTTAAGTCCAAACTCTAATGTTCAGTCTTTTAAGAATCACAGTTTTAAAATAGGTAGTTTTATGTGAAAAATTTGTATTACTATGCCAAGATAAGCCCTTTTTAAGTCAGTCTTTTAAATAGGTAAATTTATTCCTGAAGCTAAGGAGGGGCATACCACGTCTGTTTTGCATGAATTTTGTGAGCAGCTTTTAATGCATGTGTATGTGCGCATATGTACATATTACTGTGTGTATATTATATACATACATTCATGTGTATGTATAGAGATTTGGTGTTGAAAAGGACCTTAGAAGCCGTTTAATCCAGTCCCCTCAATTTATATATGGGAAACTATAACTTAAAAGATTGAAGTGATTTTCCCAAGGTCACGTGGTAAAATGGCAAATCTTAAGATTTAAACTCATGCCCTCTGAATTCTTGGCATCAAAGATTTTTTTTGTTTGTTTTTTGGTGAGGCAGTAGGGGTTAAGTGACTTGCCCGGGGTCACACAGCTAGTAAATGTCAAGTGTCAGGGGCAGCTAGGTGGCACAGTGGATGGAGCACCGGCCCTGGATTTAGGAGGACCTAAGTTCAAATCTGGCCTCAGACACCTAACACTTACTAGCTGTGTGACCCTAGGCAAGTCACTTAACCCCATTGCCTAGCCCAAAAAAATAAAAAAATAAAATGTCAAGTGTCTTGAGTCCAGATTTGAACTCGGGTCTTCCGGACTCCAGGGCCAGAGCTCAATCTACTGTGCCACCTTGCTGCCCTGGCATCAAAGAATTTGATGGCCCTCAAAAGTCAACTAGTTAAACTTTCTCATTTTTGTTGTTCAGTCGTTTTTCAGTTGTGTCTAACTCTTGGTGACCATTTGGAGCTTTCTTGGCAAAGATACTGGAGTGGTTTACCATTTCTTTTTCCAGCTCGTTTTACAGATTCAGAAACTAAGACCCTAGAAGGTTAAATGACTCATTGTACAACACTGCTTCTATATCTATCTATAACATAAGAGATTGCATAGCACAGTGCCTGCCTTAAGAAGAATTAACAACAAGCATTTAGGAAACACCAGCAGTGTTCCAGGTATTGTGCTAGGCTCTGGATTTTGTAATCAGTCACTGCTCTCCTTGCTTGCATACTTCTAGGGGATACAGCACCTACCTAGATAACTAAATATAAAGTAATCAGCTTACTAACTGAACAGGTTTCACTAGTGAAGGCATTCCAGGCATGGGGGATAGTTTGTTCAAAAGTAAGCAGTATGGGGATGGAATGTCATGTATGAGGAATAGCAATTAGGGTTATGTGTCAACAGTTTGGAGAGAGAGCCTGGGGCCAAATGCAAAGGGCTTTAAGTTCCAAGTAGAGAAGTTTATTTCATCCTAAAGCTAATAGCAAGCTACGGAGGATACTTGTACCAGGGAAATGACATGGTCAGACTTGGGCATGAGGAAGACCTGGACACACTAGTTAGGAGACCATGGGCTAGTTAACAATTCCCCAGTGCCCTGCACAGCTTTATAAAATTACAGACAAATTGCTAATCTGTATCTGTAGATGGATTCCATTTCTAGGATCCCCCAACACTGATGAAATTACAGGTTCAGACCATATATATTATATACATACATATATGATCTGAATCCATAATTTTTATCGGTGTACATGATAAATATTGTATGTAATATACATACAAATGATCTGAAATATCATTTCTTCAATGTATGTGTACGTACATATATCATGTATGCATTGCTCACACACATACAGTTCTCTCTTTTTGGGGGCTGTAAAAATGTTATAGTGTTTATCATCTTGGAATACAAACAGGATCTTTTAACTTGAGATGTTCAGTTAACCTGTTCATGCATTCAATCATCATCCCAATCCTTTTTCCCTGTTGGAGGTTTTGGGCTACCAGCTGGTCTTGCCATGATTATTTCTGATCAACTGTGAGTACGGTAATTACGGCATTAATGGCCAGCTTGATAGCCTAATATTTTTCAAGAAAAGTATCTAGAATGCCAGTTTTCAACATATCCTTTACTGCAGAGTTTCAGCCTCAATATCTAATTCAACATTTTTGTTTCCTTCTTGATATACTGCATAAAGTTTAGGGATCCCTTCATTAGCCTTAACTCTAGAATGTTCTGCCATTGCCTGGGGGAATCGCTTCAGATGCTTCTGCAGATTTCCTGATGGCATATTGTTCCAGTCCAGGATATATCTCTCCATGTGGTGTGATCTTTTTTGGCTGCTTCAGCTTCTTTTGCTCCACCTCCAGGCACAAAATGCTTATCCCTTGTGAGAATTTGAAAGTATTAACACTATCATCTACTGCCCTTTTTAAAATGTCATCCATTAGATTATCTGTAGAACTCTGAAGCACTTTAGTAGAAATGGCACCATCTGCCTTTTCATGCTTGAAAACAACCACTATTCCTGTTACACGGCACTCCCTCTCTTTTCTCCTTATCTTTACATTGTCACACTACCAAACCTGGAATGCACTCCCTCCTCACCTCTGCTTCATTGACTCCCTCTTCAAGACATAGCTGACATGCCACCTTCTACACCTTTCCTACCCCTGCCCCAAACTGCTACAGCACGTGTTCTTTCCTTATCTTTAAATATAATTACTGTGTGTTTATTTTATTTTGTATCTGTGTATTCTGTATAGACTTCAACTGAATATATACTTGCCTTCCTTGACAGACTATAATTTCCTTAAGAGTAAGAATTGTTTCTTTTTGCTTTTTCTATTACTAGTGCCTAGCACAATGCCAGGTATATAATAAATGCTTCTTGATTGATAAACATTTTCTCATACATCATTTTCTCACTAGTTAATCTTTTCTCTTTTTTTTGGCAAGGCAACTGGAGTTAAGTGACTTGCCCAGGGTCACACAGCTAGTAAGTGTCAAGTGGCTGAGGCTGAATTTGAACTCAGGTCCTCCTGTCTCCAGGGCTGGTGCTCTATCCAACACCCCACCTAGCTGCCCCTGGCCAGTCAATCTTAAGCCCTTACTGATAACATTCTTTTTCATAAGCTTTTTGGAGAGGATTGCCACAAAATAGGTAATAGTGCTAGGTTTTCCTTAGTCATAACTTTTTAGGCTTGAATGTATCACCCTCATTTTACAGGTGAGGAAATGAAGATGTAGATAAGTGATATGCTCAAAAGTTCACAGCAACATAAGGATTAATACTCTGGACTGAACATTTAGGATCATACTGGGTTTTAGTCATTTACACTGATTTAAAATTTTGGTACTGATCAAAAAACAAAACAGTGGTTTTGACTTTGTAGGGAACTCCCAGATGAAGAAACTCCCTTTACAAATGGAGATGTAGCTCTTCTGCAATGTGAGAGTTGCGTAGGGTACTGAGAGGTTAAGCTACTTGCCCCATGTCACATAGCCATTATGTCTTTTCTAAAAGTCCATCTTTCTCTGCTAGGCCACACTGCTTTTTCTGTTGTTCCTAGTATTGCCTCCCTGCCTGACCCCTCAAATGGTAGGAAATTAATGCAGAATACAAAAACATTTTTACACAGATTATTTTGAAGGAAGTAGTTAAAGAACATTCTTAGCAGCTCTTCCCATCTAGTTGGTAAAAGGCTGTCCAATGTGATGCAATATGTTAGAAGCTTCAAGGGTTAAACGAAACTTGCAAAATCATTTAAAGACTGTTAAAATTTCACAAAGTACAGGCCAGTATGAATTAAATTTGTTCAGTGATCACGGAAGTGAACATAGCTCGTTTTATTAAAGTTCACATGAAAACCAAGATTATACATTGTAACAGCATTATTTTTAACAAGCACAAATATCTCTGGTCAGTGATATTTTTATTTCATTTTCCTTTTTAAATTTTTATAAAATTTTAAGTTTCCTTTACATGAAATTTGAAGACCAAATTTATAGAGCCATAAAATACTACCACTGGAGGCATTTGATTAGTAGTAAATAAATTTTATTATTGTTGTTAAAAGTTTACTTTGAAAGAGCTTTAATTTTA